ACACCCTTAGCAGGATGCAGCGCACCCTTCATGCGACTCGCCGAATATCTCACGGCGCTTCGCGCTTGGTGATGTGAGGGCCTGGTCCCGTGATAACCCGGCGTCGCCGTCCCGGCTTTGTAGGGATGCGAGGTCAATGGTCTAACGACCACGGCATGCACAACCATGAGTACACCCCCCCCACCTGTCTTTTGTTATACTTCGCAGATAGGACTTACTTTTACGTGTTTCTTCTGTGTTGGTCTATGTACATGTAGAGCCAGATTGTTCAGCATGAGGGAAAGACACAAGGCACCCTGTGTACATTTGTTTTTGAGACTTGTCCTACAAGCTTTGGATGGTACTACAAGCTTGCTGGTTAATTGGAATACATTCACGACTATACTTCGATCCACATGCTGTTACAGTTGAGGTTGCCGACCCCCCCTTAACCGTGCAGACTCGCGTCCTTCAACGGCTCTTTCTCGATCATGCCCTTGTATCGCCGTGTCTCACCCTCTCGCTGCTGCTCTCTGCATGCACCACGCACTTCCTGCGCACACATGAACACTCAACAACACCAACCACAACAGCCATCATGAACTACTACAACTCGAGGCCACTGACGCTTCTCTCGAGGCTCGCGGAGGTGTCGTACCGGCTGGGCTCCCTCGCCGCCAAGCTTTGGCTGGACAGGAAGGTCGGCGACGGCAGCGGGTGGGAGAAGAACATGGACTCGAGGGCCAGAGAGTTCGTGGAGTTTGTCCAGGGGGCAGGTCCAGCGTTCATCAAGATTGGCCAGGGAGTTTCGATCCGGCCAGACATTTTGCCGGAGCCGTACCTCAAGGAGCTTTCAAAGCTTCAGGACAGGGTGGGTGCAGTCGCGTTTGGTCTCGGATGTGTGCGGGCTTGTCGTGTGCGCCTTTTTGTTGTTTCTCTTGGTGGTGTATCTTCCCTTGCCTCGCCACCTACTGTGGTCTGCTGGCGGTTTTAGCCTGGTTTCCGGGGCCACGTCCAAGTTTGGGCGTTGGGTTGGTCCGCCCGCTTGTTCTCCTGATTATGTTGCCTTGTCGTCTGAGCTCTGTTCAAGCTCAAGCATTGTGCTGGAGTTCGCGCGGTCTGTCTCGCGCGGCATCGCTGCCTTCCTCACCTCGTCAAGCCTTTGCCTCTTTTGTGGCCCTGACCAATCAGCGCGTGCCCGTGTGGCGTGGCGTGCACACAGGTGAACCCGTTCGATTCCGGAGACGCCAGGAGAATTCTCGAGCAGCAGTTGGGCAAGCCCCTCCGCGAGATCTTCCTCGATGCCGACACGGCCTTCGAGATCCCCGTAGCCGCGGCGTCACTCGGCCAGGTGAGAGGCAGACACGTCTCACCAGAGGCAAGACTTCCATTTGCTAGAGCAGCACACGGTCACTCCTTCGGCACACAAAAGGCAATAGGACTATTCACCACCACCATTCCCAACGAGTGCAACAAGTAGAAACAAAGCAGCAATAAACGTACAAAATACTATATTAGGTATACAAGGCGACTCTCGTTACTGGGGAGGTGGTCGCCGTGAAGGTGCAGCGGCCGGACGTGCTGGAGTCCGTAACGCTGGACCTCTACGTGATTAGGCTGCTGCTGCTCTTCATCGCCAAGAACGATTCTACGAGGGAGAGCGCGCTCAGCATCTTGGGGGTGATCGACAACTGGGCCGACCGCTTCTTGCAGGAGCTGGACTATATTCAAGAGGCCGCGAACGGCGACAGGTGTGGGCTTGGCGTGAGGGTGATTGGCTTTTGGTTGAGTTTTGTGCGGGCTGTGGCTGTCGCTGTCGGTAGCGTTACGGCTGCTGTCGTTGTGGTTGTTGTTGCTGCGCTTGCCGTTGTTGATGCGCGCGTTGGTGTCCGGTGTTGGTGCCGGGTGGTAAGGAGTCATTTCGTCAAGCCAGAACGGAGCAGGGTGTTCTTAGCTGGGCGCGTGAAGAATGAACGGGTACGCTTTGGGAGGAATTCGTACAGGCGAAGATGGATGCGCGCTGCGGCCCGCGAGGTGGATTCTCTTGTGGCGTCCAGGAGAAACTATATAGTATAATATCAACGCGGTTACTTTTATGTGAAGGCGTAATGTGAAGGCAAAGAGCCGACCCCAAGGTCTCGCTGAAGAAACCGAGGTGTCGAGTTGTCCAGGAGTGGTGCCGATTGAGAGGGCATACTTTCCACCAATACACCTGGGAAGCGTAGCTAAATGACCAGCCAGCCGCTCACGGCATCCCTGCGCCAGCCATGTGCTCGATATTTCCCCGAATAATTAATTCTTCGCCGCAACAAACGAAAGCAGACCGCGAAACCGCATCACGTCGATGTTTCCGTTCCAAAAATGACAAACAAAAACCCCCGACCAGGTTCCGCCGAGAGATGGCGGAGAGCAAGACACTGGGGGAGGCGATCCTCGTGCCTCAGGTCTACACATCCTTGAACACGCGCTACATCCTGGTGACGGAGTGGGTCGAGGGCGTGAAGGTGGGGCGGCCGCGTCCGGCAGGCCGCGTCCGGCAGATGTGTGCGTCGGATCGCTTCGTGTGTGCGCCGTATGGGGAAGGTTCATGCAAGCTTACAGCTCTATGTTGAGAACAGTACAACCAAGACAGCGTAACTTGATACGAGTATTAATCAGGAAAGAGGTTCTCTCTCTGTGATACGCCTACGTTTTTAGCATCAACTGTTTCGGTCCCCTCCTTGTTGGAATCCATGATGGACAGTACGAAATATTTCTGACCCCCGCTTGCCAGCATCGTGTGCACCCCTACTCTTTCCACGATTTTTTCCACAACACGAGGAACGCTCTTCATAAATACACGACAGGTTGATGCTATCGACTCTTCCACGCCAGCCGGGCGCGAGCGGCTGAAGAAGATCGTGGCAACGCTTCTCAACTCGTACCTGGCTCAGCTGCTGGAGTCCGGCTTCCTGCACGCCGACCCCCACCCGTAAGAAAGAAAGAAAGAAAAAGAAAGAGGGTTTCCCGTAAATGTGGCTTTTTGTACGGCTTACCAGGCGTAGGCATGGGCGCGGGCGGGGACCGCGAGCTTCTTGTTGTCTGCACGCAGAGTTTCATCGCCGATCCGGGACGAAGGGAGCAGAGCCGAAGCTCCCCTAAATATCGCTTTGGGCTTTTTTGCGTGGTGGGGCAGTCTACATCTTCGGCGTTCTCCTAGAGTGGAACGAAGGGTACCCGTCACACTTGCGAGTGATGAATAATACAGGGGGCATGGGGCCTCTTAACATTGTCCCATCCGTCTCGCTCTTTGAGTCCGAACGGTTGAGGAGAGCACGTTTATCACAATGTTCCACGTGTGGTACAAGTACAGGTGTACGAGGTTTGGCTTTTCCGGGGCCTTTTTTTTTTCTTCGCGTGGCTCTGATTGCGTGTCCATAGTCTCAGCTGTTCGTAGCCCACGACCCGCGGGACTGCCTCGGTCCCGCCACCACCAGCACGGCGATGTCCGCCCGGAACACGCTCTGATCCCTTCCGTTGCCTGCATGATGTTCATCCACCATTCTTTTCACCCGGGAACAGGGGTAACTTCCTGTGCACCCCCGACGGGCGGCTGTGCGTGCTGGACATGGGCCTCATGACCGAGGTTTGTTCTCCTGCGGTACTCGAGTTTTTTTTTTGTGCTGTGTTTGGGCTATAGTCTCGGCTCGTGTCGATTTTTTTCGGTTTTTCTACTCGGGTAGCAAGGGACCCTGTGCAACACTACCTGTAGGCGGATATGATCGAAATATACCAAGGCTTACGAGAGTTCTGTCAAGGAGGATTGGAGCAGAGGAAGTAGAGGCGTCGTCGACACCGCATTGGAGACATGTCTGTATCGAGGAGGGAACAAGGGCACTGCACAACACAAGCAGGCGTGATTGTAACCCCCCTCTCCCCCCCTGCCCCAAATCCCGACTCTTGGTTGTACCGCAGTTGGCCTAGTTCGTGAAATCCCCCCCTTGATTTCGGTTGTTGCGATGCTGCCCAGTGCGCACGCAAAGCGTGCACAGGCAGGACCTGCTGCGTGCGCATGCGGACCTTCGCCGTGGTTAGGGGTGCACGCGCGTCTCAACCCCCCCCCCCTTTCCTTCTCCCCGTCCTTCCCTGCGTGCCTCCCCTTGTAGGTAGGAGAGGACCAGAGGTACGCCCTGTTGGAGTACGTTTCTCACCTCACCGCGAAGGACTACGAGGCCACGCTCTACGACCTCATCGTGCTCGGCTTCATACCCGAGGAGATCGGCCAGGACCCGGAAAAGGTGTGGTTCTGCGGTGCCCCCCTTTCCTGGCCTGCATCCGACCGCGCTGAAAGCACTGTCCGACGGTAGCTTAGCGGTTTCATTTCTTGTGAAGAGGATTTGCTTTGGGGGTATGTTCGGTGTAGGTGTGTGGTTCGTTCTGCTTAGGTCTATGGACGTGTGCATTCAAGAGGAGATGGAGGAATGCGAGATATCTATCTACGCAGGGGGTTCGTTGTTGTGTCACTTGTCGTTATTCCCCTAGAATGCGTGCAGTACTTCTCCTGCTGCTGCTGGTCCAGCTGAACAAAAGAAATACCAAGATTGATAAAGCTTGTTGTTGGCTTCAACGAGAGTGCGATTGCCCGGCTTCCTCTCTCCGCCACTGTTGGAATGGTTCGAACGCACCGGCGCTGCATACATTCATCGGCTGCGGTCGACACCCTGCATTTGCTGTCTTTCATTTCAAACGCGAAGGCGGCGATTTTTTTTTCTCGCCTGTCAAAGTGCTGTTCATGCAGCTGCTGTCGAGAAATGAGGCTCAGCAATCGCCTCACAACGAGATGTGGAGCCCGTTGTGGCCTTGTCCCTACCAACGCCCCCCTCTCTCTCCGCCCACCTCCCCTCCCACGACAGCTGAGATGGCGATGGTGTTCTCATGGCTCTGCCGATATCGCCTTTAGGAAAACTGTGCCGAAACGGTTGCGGCTGCCGCCGCCGTCACCGCTGTTGCTATCGTCGTTTACTGAATCAACTGTTTCAACTCCATGTTGACCCGCACAGGCCGGCATCGTGGCGCCCCTTCTCGCCACGGTGCTGGAGCAGCTCTCCAACGGGGGCGGGGCCAAGTCGGTGACCGTCGAGTCGGTGGGCGAAGAGGTGGAAGAGCTGGGGCGACAGTACCCCATCCGAATCCCGGCCTACTTCGGGCTCATCATCCGGTGGGAAGAAATGACGTGCTCTTTGTTCTTGGACACTGCCGGCCAGCAGCTGCTGCTGTCTTCCCTGTTGTTCTTGGAGTTGGTCGATTCTCGAACCGCTGCGTGGCTCGCTGCTCTCGGCATGGTCCGTGTTCTGTTGTCTTAGAAACCTAACCCTCTTCTTCAGAGAAATGCGGCGAAGGCTACGGTACGTGCCCTTTGCCAAGGTGCCCACGGCAGCAGCAGCAACAACAACAACACCGAGGGGCAGCTAGAGGGTTAGAAAACTCGCTACTTGTCTTGCCCTACAACCGGTATCGTTGCCCTTGTGTCTGTTCTCGGTCCCTCACGGGTGACACGCCGCTGGAGGACCGGAGCTGCAACACGTCGATGTAGAAGGCACCACGGTAGCGCTGTTTATTGTATGGGTTTGCGCTAGTTTTTGTGTTCCCTGCTGGCGTATCCACGGGCCCGATCGTTGGGTGTGAGGCCTTCTCTCCGTCCGATGTGAAGAAATACGGACGCCTCGCATTCCTGTTGTAAGTTGCTATTCACTGTGATGAAATATGCCCTAACCGTCGGCCGCCCCAACCCGGTAACTGCTCCTTGTTCTTCCGAAACAAAAACTCTCAACCTATCAGCGCTTTCTCCGCCCTGGAAGGGCTCGGGCTGCAGCTGGATGAGCAGTACTCCATCGTGAACGAGTGTTTCCCTTACCTGGCGAGGCGTCTGCTTACGGAGGACTCGGAGCGGATGCACAAGATGCTCCGGACCTTCTTGTACGGAAAGGACGGCCGCTACCTCAAGGTGAGACAAAAGGACAGAGGGATGTGGCACTCTCTCTTCGTTTTTTGTTGTAAACGTCCTCGAGGCCCAGTTGTTATTGTTGCTGTTGTTGCTGTTCGATGAGTACAGTCCCCTCTTTGACACCCTCCGATGGGTAGACACGGAGTTCGGTACTCGTGACCTGTTGTTCTGCGTTTCCGGGGGTGAGCTGGCGTTACGCCGAGGTGGTATGGACGTGGAAGGCCCTTTGTTGCTGCTCTCGAGAAGCACGGTTCGGATTGCCCCGTTGGCGTAATGTGCCGCGTGTCCTTCTTTTCTCTTCAACTGTTGTTTTTCTATTCCCTGCCTGATTCTTGGCATCGGCTGATTCCCTTGTTCAGTCTCCTCCCTACAATAGTAACCGGTTTTGCCGTTCCTCTTGGTTCTCGTCCGGCTCCTGCCCTGCTTGTCCTTCCTCGAGGTGGACCGGGTGGACGATCTCGTCGACGGCTACTCCCAATTCACCGCCCTCGCCGACGAGGCCTCCAAGGGTCTCGCCGTGGACGGGGTGAAAGACCCCCTCGGCCGCACCTCCCACGACCCGACAGCCGCCGCCGCCGCCGCCACCACCACCACCACCACCACCGCCTCCGCTGAAACCCCAACATCCCAGCAACACACCGCCGCCTCTTCTTCCTCCCGACGGCGGCAAGGGCCACAATCGCCGGCGCCGTTGTTTGGCGGCGACGGCGGCGGGGGTGCGCCAGCTGCGGTCCCTGCGTTTGCTTCGGCGGGGGCTACCTCGGTGGCAGGGGCCGCCCAGGGGGCGCCGGGAGGGGCGATGACGGTTGCAGTGGACCCTATCCAGGACCCGGTGGCGAGAGATGCCCTCAAGCTGCTGTTTTCGAAGGAGGGAAACTACGTTCAGGTCCGCTTGCACGGATATCTATGAGAGTCGCCTTAGATATGGATGCATTTCCGGCGAGACGTGCTTTCTCATGGACAAAGAAGGCTCCTGCGCCTCTAGATACCCTCGTTTTTTCTCTCTTTCATTTTTTGTTCCCGAGGAGCTCATTGCGTGCAACTCCGCCGTGCATACCTTCTCTTCACACACCATGAAAAAAACCGCGCGATATTAACCGTCTTCCCTTCACAAACGAAATATTGCGAAAGAGCATCCATCGAAGTCGAAAATCATGGCGGAAATGAGGGTTTCGCTCTTGATTGATCTAAGAACGTTTTAATCACGATTTGGGTACGGCGTGGTACCCGTCCTGTGCGCCAACACCTGAAGTTTTTACATTTGTTGAAACAGGAGCTTGTGGTGGAGGAGCTGGTCCGAATGACAGACGCGCTTGGCCGGGAGGCTAACCTCCAGATCATCCAGGCCCTGAGGACGTTGACGGAGGCGCCGCTGTCCCCGGCGAGGATCGCGCGCGCGCTGGCGGAGGCGCCGATGAACCCGTTGCTTGCACCCCTGCAGATCCCCGTCAAGTGAGTGAATGGATGTATGAGCGGATACCCCTGACACGCGTTGTGACGTGCCCAAAAAGTATCGGGCCCGCAGCAATTGGAGTGCCCCGGCGCGCCCCGCTCCTCTTGATCACCACTTTCTCCTTGACGGAAAACCAAGCAGGCAGTGGCACTGAACCCCCCCCCGCTCCGCCCCTGCAAAACATACACGTACACCCAAAAAAAACACACACGAAAAAGGGTGCAATCGTTCGCGCTGTCTAGAATATTCAACCGCCTCGAGGTGGCGCTGGAACTTTCCCAAGAGGACCAGGAGAGCCTCAAGGCCCTTCGACGTCTCCAGCAGCTCCTGCAGGGGGGCATCAACAACGACGGCGGCGAAAACTCGTCGTCCTCCTCCTCTTCGTCGTCGAGAGGCGTGGGCTTCCCCTTGCCCCCGTCGCCGGCGGCGCTGCTGCCCGGAGGCGGGAGCATCTTCCCCTCGGGGTTCTCGTTGCAGCCCGGGGCGGCGGTGGGCCCGCGGGAGGCCGTGGAAGCGGCGCGACAAGCGGCGGGGCTGGCGTCGATGATCGGGCCCGGCGTGGCCTCCATCGCGCAGAAGTTCTTGGTCCAGCTTGCAGCGAGGTACGTGCGCGTGTGTATCTATTATTGGCGTCAACCTTTGTCTCTGTGACTGTATTAATAGCATCGACCACACTACCCGGCTGACTAGTGCGGTTTAAAGCACAAAATACTTCTAAATGCCATGAGCTGGGACCCCGTGAGGGGGCGGCTTGGATTTTCTCCTCATTACAGACAGAAACGGTAGCAACAGAGGATTGTACTTGTCTACCATGGCTGCTACCTTGCACTCGACTTCGCTTTGGAGTGCTTTCACCATCATCCTTCTTGCTTTCACCTCAAATCACTCTCATCGTCATTTTTCAGCTGCTTTTTCGGCAGTTGTTCTCTACCCCTGTGTCGTATGTTGTAGGGAGAGTCGTCTGGCTCGAAGCTCGTGCTCTCTTCCACTCCATGCGTCCCTCTTCCATTGCTGTTTCGGTCGTTCCGTTGTCCTCCCGTTGCCTCTCCTCCTCCTTCGTCGCTACCAAATGAATCCCCCTCATCGCCATCATCATCGTCTTTGCCTGCACTACCACGGAGATCCCTACCCACTGGCCTTGACGAAATTGGTCGATCAGTAGTCCATGACGTTTGAAAACATCACGAGTCAGCTCGAAGGTTAACCTTCTCCGAATCCTGTTGGTATGATGGGCCTTCAGGCGAAGCAAGGCTGTTTCGTCGTGAAAATTCCCCCTGCAACATGCTTCGCATACCAAGTGGTAGGCAATAGCTTCGTGTGTGTGGGTCTGTCTGTGTTGCATCATCCGGCTGACCAATGAAAACACGTCAGTCTCAGCACGGTTGAAAACCGGAAATACCTCTGAAGGCCGTGGTCTGGGGCCCCGTGAGGGGGCGTCGTGGGGGAGGGCTAAGCTACTCTCCGGATCAAAGACAGAAGTCGGTGTCAACCAAAGAGGACATGTGTTTCCTTGTCGAATAGGTCGGCTGTTATTGTCCGACTGAGGTATCGTGAAGCCGTGAACCTTGACCGGACAGAAAGCACAATCCGCGGGGTCCCCTTGCGGGGTTCCTGTGAAAGAGATTGGACAGAAGAGCCCCAGCGGTCGCATTTTGCGCACATACATGTGAAGGACGAAGGATGAGTGTGCGAACGGGCTTTTTTTCCTGAGCACATTCGTTTTTGTATCCGTGTGCTCGATACACGCAGTGTAGAAAGATTGTATCGTTAGATCCTTTTTGTTGTGGACAGGCCACGGCAGGTGGGGATGGAACACAAGGCCGGGGAAAATGACCACCCCGACCCGCTTTTTGGCGTCGCTCTCTGTGTTCTTCTCCGCGCTTTTTCTGCCGTTTTCGTTTCGTGCAGGACGCTTGACCGTCTTGCCGATAGCTTCGACGACCAAGGGAACAAGGACGGTGCTGGCAGTGGTGCTGGCGGTGCTGGCGGTGCCACTACCGTTGAGGATGTCGCGTCAGGTGTCCGGGAACCGGCATCAACACGGCGGGGGCGGTTCTACGCCGACGAGAGTAAATAACAGAACCCCGAACACCCCCCACAATGCTTGAGCGAGGACGCTGTGCATTGAACGTTTTGGTGAACTTTTGGCTGGCTGTATTATCTGTATGTTCACTCGGAAACGCGAATAGAAACAAGAAGCCGAGGGGGGCGAAACACTGCGCGGTTTGCGACCGTCCTTGGTATTTTCGTTGGTCGTTCCGTCATGAAGAAGACAGGAGAGAGTGTGGCTCGGGCACAGGAGCCCCCTCTGTCCACATTGCCGTTGTACAGTTTCATGACGATGTCGGATAACGTGCACTCCACCTCTGCTGCTGGTCTTTGGCGATGTGAGATGATTTCACCCACAATGCTGGCAGCGGAGCTCATTTTGACGTTTGATGTATCTTGGGTTATTCCGTGTTGTCAATGTATGTTACCTTGTTTCGTAGAGGCTTGTGTGTTGCTGTTGTCTGCGAAACCTACAAGCTTTTCCCGAGGGGTCGTCGCAGAAAGATTCCGGGGTCGAGGGCATGAGCCCGCTTCCGACCACCACACTGGTTTCTCCGTTAAATTATACAGCAGAAGTTTATGGCAACGAAAGATGGTCCAAAAGAGCGTAGCGCAGAGCGGTGGCAGAAATTGTCCGCAAGCTCATCTTGTCAGCATGTTTTTCGTGGAAAATGTGCGCATCCATCCGTTGCCCCTCTGCATCCGATGTCCTCGCAACCCTTGTAAGGACCGGCTCTTTCGTATGTTCTTATAGTCCCTACGGGGTCGTAATCGTCTAGCTCGCCTGTCATCCGCGTGTGCTGCCAGCAAAAAAATACCGGGACAGATTTAACTTGGCGTCCGTTTATGTGTCAGCTCTCTCCATTCAAGTTGGCGCCAAGTTGGCGCCTACTTGGCGCCTTGTCTCTTTTCCAGTAAATTTGGCAATTACGTCGCTTTCCTATGCGCACCGCATTCGAACCAACCAGTCAGTTCAGCGACCGACGCACATCAGGCTGGAGCCTGGGCACTGCAACAGGCGCATACGTCACGCCCACAGCAGGATAGAACCAGCAGAGACCGCTCTCGTCTCTGTGATTTCTCTGCTGTCGCGGTGGCGACACCCCTGCTCTGGTGCCTGCTTTCTTTCATTGATTCATAGAAATGCAACATGTTCAAAGCGTGCAGCCCGCGGACAGATGGGTTTCATACATATTAGAGAACTTGGCCGGCGTAATTAAAATCCAAAAAAGCTGTCCCGGTACAAAAACTTTGCCCCGTGTGTTTGTCATCTTTACATTCAGAAGTCATTCGGACCTCTTGTTCCTACTCCCTCCTGCCTGCTCTTCCCAAAGCCATTGCGAGTTTGATATATCAGTGACTGTCGCAAGCTAACCAACGTGCAGACTGGGGAACGGAACAGTAGCAAGTGCCTACACTCGTGTGTGGGGTAGAATGTACGACGTGCGCAAGGCAAGGGAACACTGGGGGACAGGTGATGGAATAGCCATGCCACGGAGCATGAAGCGAGGACGTTCACGAATACCTTCCGGAATTTGTGTCCGATCGAAGTAGTAGGGACACCGAATCCCACCACCAAATACATGAATTCTGGCCGAGTAGCACAATCGGTTTGCTCCCACAGGAAGAAAAACAGCGTGTCTCTCCAATTAATTGTACCCTTGACCCAATGAAGGAGATCTCATGAAGAGTCAGCTCGCGAAACTCCATCACAGTCACCCCCGCGACTCCAGTATCAAGTGTTGTCCCAACGCTCCATCACAGTATTGTGCAAACCCCAATCATTTCTGTTGGAGTAATTGCAGTGTAAGAACGACTCTATTCTACTGCATGGGTTTATACAGTATTGTGAAGACGTTGCCAAGTCTGTAACCGTCAGGTGAAGACAGCTTGGGCGTCTGTCTGTGTGGATAATAATATCACTCTGTGTGTTTGCCTACCTGACCTCGCATCACATGCTAGCTACTTTGTATGTAGCCACAGCTGAAGGAATAGCTGCACAGCGACTGCAGTGACAGTGCTGTTGCCTCAACAGGTTATGAGCCCCGAGTTGCTCGAGCTTGTACACCAGAGTCACCAGAGTCGGTAAGCATGGCTACCGGCTCGTCAGGCGAGATCCGAAGAGGATTCGCCAAGTTCATTAGTGACCCAGGCGACTACGTCGGCTGGCGAACCCTGCAGACCTCCTTGTTTATGGAGGACAAGCTGCACAAGGTTCTGTTGGGAGTGGAGAAAGCCCCTTCAGATCCCGGACCTGGTGCTACGCCGGACCAGACTTCGGCATACCAATCTGCCGTGGAAGGATAGCAGGACAAAAACGGACTGATCTGGTTTACACGGCTGATGCTCGCCACATCTGACACCGGGGGCTACCAGAGCGCGGCCTCGCAGACTGTGCAGGCATACGCGCCTATCGGGGCTTCCTACAACGGAGACGGTCGTGGAGCCTTCCTCGCCCTGGAACGAAAGTACCAGGCCGCTGGGGTATACCGTACGCAGGAACTGCCCAAGAAGTTCATATCTTTGGCAGTTACTGCGGACCACGACTTTGACCCGGCCAATGTTATTCAAGACATGCGCCGGATCTGCACGGAGCTCGCCGTGTATAACGACGCTGTGACTGACCACCGAAAAAAGTTCGCTTTTCTAAAAGCACTGCCGGACGACCACTACAAAGAGTTCAAGACAGGACTCCTGTGCGGCCAAGCTGCTGGGAGCGTCTTGTCCTTCGAGGAGGTCGACGACGNCTCGCCCTGGAACGAAAGTACCAGGCCGCTGGGGTATACCGTACGCAGGAACTGCCCAAGAAGTTCATATCTTTGGCAGTTACTGCGGACCACGACTTTGACCCGGCCAATGTTATTCAAGACATGCGCCGGATCTGCACGGAGCTCGCCGTGTATAACGACGCTGTGACTGACCACCGAAAAAAGTTCGCTTTTCTAAAAGCACTGCCGGACGACCACTACAAAGAGTTCAAGACAGGACTCCTGTGCGGCCAAGCTGCTGGGAGCGTCTTGTCCTTCGAGGAGGTCGACGACGGAGCCACTTCGTTCCACGCGATGCACATTCGTGGTAAAATTGCGTCGAAGAACGAGTCCGGAAGCAGCAGCCGTGCGCTGAATACCGTCACACACGGCGGAGCGCGTTCTTTCCGTAAGGGCGGCGGTCATCATGGTCGTGGACGCGCGCAGCGCGGTGGACAAGGAGGACGTGGCAGCTGGAACAACTCGTCGAACCGTAACAACGGGTCCACGAGGGGGAACAACAGCAACGACCAGAACCATGGTGGCGTGACTTCTGGCGACGGAGCTGGTGCGTCTTCCGACAACCGGTCCTCTGGACCGCCGAACCACACGCAGCAAAAACGCGGGTACGACAGGGACGGCCTGCGCAGTTACTGTCACAATTCTACGGAACACACCTGGACGAACTGCCCGCTTCGCGCCTCCAATGCCACGCGGTTTTCGAACCGTGAACAACAGCAACCACAGCAGCAGGTCAACACGACCGCGGAAGCCACGACACAGGCGTGGCTCACGCACGCACGCGAGGCAGGCANGCCTGCTGCATCGACCCCTGAGGAGGCGTCCGATGCAAATGTCGGGCAGGTGCTGGCTGCGCCTGCCACAGCTTCGCTACAATTGTTTGAGCGTGCTGTCCCATTGCAGGTGCCGATTGCGCCTGCCACAGCAGAGGAAACCGAGGAGCCTGCTGCCTCCTACGAGCAGGAAAAGGACCCGCCTGCCGCGATACAGCATGAGGAGCTGGTCGCGTACACCAACGTTTTTCGTGCAGTGGACAAGATAGCGCCCGCCGAGAATACGAGGGTGTTCATCGACACCGCCGCTTCGGGACACATGGTAAGCGGCGAGAGCCCAGTCTCACAATATGTGGTCGACTTGGTTGACTGCGACGTCCTCATCAAGGGTCCGTGCGGCACATCAAGCGCCACCAAGAAAGGTACGCTGAAGTTCAAACTCAAGAATGACAAAGGTCAACCCGTCCCGATAGAGTTGGAGGTTCTGCTTGTGCGGGACCGTGCCGATACCGATGCCGGTGTCTGGCACCGGAGGATGGGACATTGCAATGCGCGCGTCCTGAAGCAGCTCCCGGATAAGGAAGGCACCGGCATCAAGTTTACAACCAACATTCGACCAGCACGTAGACTCATGCTTGGAGCTCCGCACCTGCCGCGTCAACTGTGGGCGGAAGCCGTGAAGGCCGCCATTTACATCAAGAATCGCACACCTACTGACGTCCTGGACGGCAAAGCACCACTTGAGGTTTGGGAGGACAAACCACTCGGCAGCTTAAAGGACATGCATGAGTGGGGGTCTGTAGCGTGTAAACATGCTTGCGTCCTACGCCACTTATTTATCGGGTGAGACTGTTTTGGTGATGTAATAACTTCACGAGAGGTCGACGACCGTCCTTCACACGGACGAAAGAGGGAGTGCTCAAAGAGCGGCTCCTACAGCAAGAGGGGCCCCGTGAATCATCGAGGTGCCCCCTATCAAACGGTTATCTTACCAGTCTGCGTGACACAAAAT